GGGGGGGGGGGGGGGGGGAGCATGCTGCGCGTGGTTGAAAGGCTGCTTGGGGGGATTTGCCTGTGTGGAGGGCAGATGGTCGAGACATGTTCACCCGTCCCCCTCAATGCGATGTTGTCCTTGGGGGGTTTTTTTTTTTTTTTTGGTTTGCACTCGTCCTGCTCGTGTCGTGGATGCTCGTGGTGCTGGCAGGCAAGCTCGCCATCTACACGGCGGCAGGCGGCATCGATCCGACCCGCTGCCTTCCTGGTGAGCGTCGTCCACCTGCGCAACAACGCCATGATTCATGGCAGTGACCATGCATGCGCACTCGCTCGTGTTCACGCACACACACACACACACACACACACATACACATTGATTGTCACTCGTGCACACATTCACGCACACACTCAGACACTCACACTCAATCACACACACACTCAATCACTCAATCACTCACTCACACACGTACACACACGCAACTGCAGTGACGATTGACGTTGGAACGAACAACCAGGCGCTGCTTGATGATCCATATTACATGGGATTGCGTCATCCACGCATTGAGGGCGCCGAGTATTTCGAACTCATGGACGAGTTTATGAACGCAATCTACATGCGTTATCCAAACGCGCTTGTGCAATTTGAGGATTTCAAAACGCCCAAAGCGGAACAGCTGCTGAACCGCTACAGAAACAACTTCACATGCTTCAACGACGACATGCAAGGTAGTGTGCTGTATGTGTGTGTGTGTGTGTGTGTGTGCGTGTGTGTGTGTGTGTGTGTGCACTTTTTTGGGTGGGTGTGTATTGACACATGTGCACGACAATTCTCCAGTCCTTGAGCGTTGATAGCGCTCTCATCACCACCACACCATCATCATCACCATCATCATCACCATCATCATCACCATAATGATAATCATGGGCATCAGGCACGGGCGCCGTTGCCCTTGCTGGCCTTCTCGCTGCCCTCCGCAAAACAGGGGTGAGCACACAGCACACACTGTGTGCGGGCATGTGTGTGCAAATGGCATGTGTACGTGTGCAAATGGCATGTGTACTGTGCAACTATTCCACGCTTTTGTGTCCCTTCCACCACATTTTCCAGCTCACACCATCTCCACTCGCCCCCCTCCTCTGCAAAGACGCCGCTGACGGAGGCAAAGATTGTGTGTGTCGGCGCCGGCAGTGCGGGCATTGGCGTGTGCAGCATGCTGGCTGACGGTGAGACAGCGTGTGTGTGTGTGTGTGTGTGTGTGTGTGTGTGTGTGTGTGTGTGTGTGTGTGTGTGTGTGTGTGTGTGTGTTGTGCTAATGAGGAAGTGCTGGCACGGCTTCATGTCAAGCACGCCAATTCTTACTGCTCTCTGTCAACGCGCCTTCATTGCACGTGTGTGTGTGTGTGTGCAGCGATGGTGCGGTCTGGGCTGAGCGCGGCGGAGGCGTACCAGCGGTTCTGGCTCATCGATGAGAAGGTATTGACCACTGCAGCGATGGTGATGGTGGTGGTGGTGGTCGTCGTCGTAGTGTTGGCGCTAGACGTACAAGCCATCATCCATGATTTGTTCGGCTGTTATCTCACAATTGACTCGCCATACTTTCATGTGTGTGTGATGTGTGATGTGTGATGTGTGTGATGTGTGATGTGTGTGTTTAGGGCCTCATCACGTCCTCGCGCACAAATCTTCAGAATGCGCAGATTGAATTCGCCCGCCGTGGGGTGCGTGCGTAAATGTGCAGTTGCAGTTGCGTGCGCGTCTGTGAACATGTATGTGTGTGTGTATGTGTGGATGTGTGCCTGCGCCTGTGTGTGCTTGACTTGACCAGGACTGCAAACTCACCTTACTTATTCGACACGATTTACCGCCTCAACAGACTGAAGACGCGGCGATGGACGGATCGTCCCTCAAGGAGACGGTCGATGCCGTCAAGTCAGTGTACAACCACTCTCCATCTGCCCCTTTTTTAACGCATCTACTGCTTTCACCTAACTTTCGCACACACACACACACACACACACACGCACACACGTACAATGGCACGCCCACATATCGTCTCACTTGTACCACGTTCCTTCTCCCTGTCCATTCGTCTGCATGCAGGCCAAACATTCTGCTTGGCCTCTCTGGCTGCGGCGGCGTGTTCACGGAAGACGTTGTCAGGACAATGGCCACACACTGCGAACAGCCCATGTTCGTGTGCCACCCGCTTTGGTTTTGCGCGCGCGCGCGCGCGTGTGTGTGTGTGTGTGTGTGTGTGTGTGTGTGTGTGTGTGTGTGTGTGTGTGTGTGTGTGTGTGTGTG